TCCTCACCACCACGCAGGTGGCTGCCCCCGCTAGTCCTGCAGTCCTGCTCATTCCTCCTGGCCCTCGCCTGGGCAGTGGCGGTCTACTTGGTCAGCTACGCGACCACTTGGCGGCACCTGGCCGACTCCCCCTCCCCCTCCGTAGCTGATCAGGCCCCCGCCTTCGCCGCCCTGACGGCGCTGGTGGGCTTCCTGGCGGCCTGGGCGGTGCTGGGCTTCCTGGCGTCGCTGATGCTGAATGTGGTGGACTCTCTGTTCGTGTGTGTGGGCATGGACCGAGATGTGGGCCAGGTGTGTGTTTGTGTGGGGGGGGGGTGGGAGAGAGCGTATACCTTTTATTATCCGACACCCCACCATGCATCTCTCATGACCCTTTTTTCGCCCCTCCCTTGACCTTTGCATGTGTTCCTCGTCTTCCTCCTACCTCGGGTCGATGACTTCATTGCGTTGCACTCAGCAGCAGTTTCGGACCCACTTCGGACATCAGCAAAGTTTACTTCTTACCTTCTCTCATATGATTGTCCCCGGCCTCGCACACACATACACACGCACAAAAGAGACACACACACACGCATTCTTCGATCTCGGGGGGGGGAAGTAGTGTGGATGATTAAAAGAGGAAGCCTTTACAAGAGCGGTTTGATGAGTTTCGATCCCTTCCCCTGCCCGCCCTTTCCGTTGTTCCCCGTTGGCCGCTCCTTAACACCCCGACCCCATCGGGTAGATTATGCTGTGTGCAGTTTGATGTTGGGTTTCCGTCACGCACACGCACACGCCTACCCCCCGTTTGCCGAGTTGCCCGTATTTCTGTAACTGGTCTTCATAACCGCCCTATTCCCGGCGGTCGCCTGGCCGATCGTCCTAAACTCCTCCGTGCCAGTCATGTCCATTACGCACCACCATCCACACGAGTTGCTACACATGCGCTTTTCCCTTCGTGATAACCTTCACCCGCCGCCTGCCGCCTGCCTTCTCCTCCTTCTCCTCCTCCCCACCCCCCAAGTCCGCAGCAATTGATTCCCCAATGTTCCTTGCCTGTGTTTTCCCGCCCAACTCCTCGCCGTCGACATGTGTTTCTTTTTTGACTTTTTTGCCCCTCCCCGTGTAACTAACTTTATATTTTCCCCTTGTCACTTGCCCCGGGGGCCGCCGTCTGTCCTCCCCCTACCGCTCCGGAAGGTGTCGTCCTTGGAGATTCACACCGTCATGTCCAAGTTGCCCACCGTCGGACCTGTCGTACAACAGCCCGACGGCGGAGTGGCGTACGGCGCTCCACAAGTTTACCAGCAGCCGCAGCCGCAGCAGGGCCCGATGGGGCGAGGCTCTGTGGCGCGTGTGTGAGAGGCGGAGGCGGGACGGAAGGAGGGGGGAGGGGCCAGTGCCCCAGTTTTCCTGGGGGACCCATCGTGCGGTTTCGGAGCGTTGCCTCTCGTGCAGGGAGCATCGTTCTTGAGTAGTGTGCGCCTTTGCACCTTTCTCCCAAGGTCTTCCTCCGAAACCAGAAGTCCGAAACCTGAACGAGTCCGTAATTGCGTGAGGGGCTCAACAGCAGGACAGGCATGGGCGCATTGATTGGTCATCGTACGGCATTTCGGGGAAAGAAAAGGAAAAAAGGGTGCCGGGAAAAAGGGTCCCTCCGAACGATGGCGCGTTGTGATTGCGCGTGGGAGCCCTGAAAAACCGTTTTCGGCGTCGTTATTACCGTTGTCAATTTAATAACATTGTCGTTGTAGCCATTGTCGTCAGTTGTTTCGTGTCGTTGTCGCCTTTGATTAAAGCAGCGGGGGATGCGGCAGGTTGGGAAGATTGCAAAGAACGAACAGCGTACATTTACATGTGTTATCCTGGAGTCCTTGAAGTCCAAAATGTGCCTGCAGGTAACGGGCTTGTTTAGGCTTGTAGCCAGGTAACACGGGCCTGTTTAGGCCTGTCTAGCTGGGTGAATAGTGGCAGGTGTTAATATGGTGTTGATACAGGTTGCCATGTAGACGTACATGTCCCCGATTGCAAGTCCTACATGCCGCTTTGAAGTTGTGTAGGAGTTGGTTGTACCCTTGGGGCTCCTTTTTTGCATATATATGGGATGAGGAACATGAGGAAGGAGAATTTTCGGATTGGCCGTTAGCGATTGTGGCGTATGTGTCGTTGTTTGGCAGTTAGCATGTCGCGAGGATTTTGTCGCGTACATACGTATAGTTGTGGAGCCTTCTAATATATGTTGGATGGAGGATTGCTGTTCCCTATTGTACGACACCTTGATTGTACTGATGATGCACTAGAGCGGTTACCTTGCATGGCATGGAAAGACGAATTTGTCTGATGATCCAAGCAAGGGAGCCGTGCGCGTTCGTTCCCAAGTTCGGTATTCTTTTTCTCTACTGTGTGACTGTCGAAGGCGGCAGGCATGTAGCTTTTCTTTAAAGGATTGCCGTCCCCCCCCCCCTTCACAACATCGCCGTGGTATTTTTTTCCTTTTCAATTAGATAATCTCAGTGGGGTATTATTGCTGTATGCTGCTGGTTCTACTCCGGTTCCTCCTTTCGTTCCGAATTTTCTACGGACGGACGTATACGACCTATACAGCAATATCAGGTATATACATAGATACATACTTTTTTATGCACAGGAGAAGATTGACGCCTTTGATTTTTTGGGGGTTTCCCCTACGTGTAACGTGTACAGAAAGCAACACCACACATATGCGGTCGAGCAACCGGAGGAAGCGGGGCCAGTAGAGATTACAGCCCTGGAAGTGGCCCAGGGGGCCGGGCAGAGTATGGCCATGAGCCCAGCAGTGGCTACAGCGCCGCTCCACACGCGTGCGGTCGGGCGGGTGGCAGCAGGGGTGGCAGACTGGGACGAAGCGGCGGTAAACCCAGGACGCGCTTCTTCATCACTCTGCTGCGGCTCAAGAAGGATGAGACGTGGGGCGGCACGGCCCAGCATTGGCGCTGAGAGTGGCGGGAGATACATCTAGAAGGCCTATGCCGCCTATCCTGCCAGAACGCCAGCTGGGGAAGCGAGTGAGATGTGGGTGCCCTTCACCCAGGAGGAGTCGGAGCGCATGGCCTGGGGGAAAATGTCTAGCACGGAACGAGCGCCCTGCATGGGAGCCCCAGTGATGGACTGGATCAATCCCCACACTTGCTAATGGGGAAGTCGCTACAATATTACAACGACAGCCAGGCGGCAGCCCTGGGTGTGCTAGGCATGAAGGGGCAAGGCTTGTGCCTGCAGCGGGTGGACGAGCTGGAAAGGAAGAACGACCGATGAGCCCAAGGGGGGCAGTACTATCCGGGCAGGGAAGGGGCAACGGCCCGACTTGGCAACTAACTTCGTCAGAGAGGATGATGGGGAGCTCGGCGACCAAGAGAGCCGCCAGGAGACGCGAAGGGGCTTGGACCATTGGAGTGTGCCGCAAGGCGGTGTGGCTGGGATGTGGTGTGACCTGATTAAACATTGGGATCGGGTGTAAGGCTAGACGCAGGCCTCCAGTTAATGCTAGTCCGGTCCAGAGCAACGAGCATTAACATGCAAGCACTTACAGACTCTTAAATGCTCGCAACAACGGCAGTACGACAGGGAACAATCTCCAACATAGCGAACGAGTGCTCTCAGGCATTATCTCTCACTCATTTTTAATTAACATCTCTTCTCTATTGTAGCGGGTAGAGACAACCAGGAGCCAGCCAAACTACACCCCACCCGACCCCCCCCATTGTGTAGTTTGGGGTGCAATAACGGGACCAGCCAACACACGTGCGCCTTCCAGACCACATACACCTATCGACCTGAAAGAAAGAAAGGCCTGCCCTAGGTACCCACCCATGGCGCCCAGGCATATCTTGATGACAAAGCGCAGCAACGGAGACCCATCACGATAGCTAGGGTGGGGAACCGTCTGGTGGTCACCCAACCCGCAAGGACACAAACGAGATCCTCAGGTACGGGGCCACACGTTGCCCTCACGGCGGTAGGGATCCAGGTAACGCTCCAGCACCACAAGAGTCCGGAGCTGGCTGAAGCCCATCAGGGCGGGCACATCCCCGCCGGCCGACGCCGCCGCCTGCAGAGCACCGCGGCGGAAACTATGCACTGTTTCCCCGGCATACAGCTGGGCAGCCCGCAGGTGTAGTCGCAGCCGGGCGGCGAGAGTGGCCACCTACCGGGGCACCAGGCTGTGCACAAGACCACAGGTACAGGGCCAGCGTCCACGGAATGCAGAAGGCGGAGGTCGACTAGCTCCTCGCCCCGGGCACCAGCTCCAGCCACGCATCCTTTCCCCCACCCGAATGCCGACTCCATGTCGGAAGATGCCGTACAACATCACCCTCCAGAGGAGGGTCTGCTCGGGAAGCTGCCTTTTGNCNTTGTGCTCAAGATCATTGTGAAGATGGCGCCACTGCTTCGCAGCTTTGAACCCGTGCTTACGGAGGAACATAGTGATGATGCACACGGTCTGCAACCCGCCAAGGGTCCCCTGGTGCTTTTGGTGGCTAAAACTGTGGCCCCTAGACCGCCGCCGGTTCCCGTGGT